AGCCATTGGAATGCATGCTATTGGTGCTTTTTATGGTTTTAGTGGGTTGTTCCAACTGATGCTATCTCCGTCTGGTTTGAATTTTGTATTCGGTATTCTAGGAGAGTGTCATATTTCACTTAATTGCTACACAATAATTCAACACAACAGTTATGAAAATCCTTTTAAAGACAGTCACAGCTACATCTAAAGTAAAGCACGGGGAAAAAAAACAAATTTAACAAAAATTGCTGTTGTTTGAACAAAAGTAAAATGAAATTCTAATGTTAAACATTGTTTGCCAGTTTTGCACTTTGCTATTGCCAGTCTGAATATACCGAAGAACACTCACAGCCCAGCATGAAATTATTTTGGGGGAAAAAAGGCAAAATATAGCAAGAAAAGAAGCACAGGAAGTAAAACTTTTTTCATTTCCAATGAGTCACAATTGTCAAGGACAACAGCAGCCTATATGGAAGAAATATATTGCTCTGGTGTGTTTACCCACACCATCCCTAAATAACAGCCCTGTCTTGTTGGAAAAAGAGCTTTTAAGTGTGGATGTGCTTCGCTCTCCTATAATCCAGCCGAGACATTACTCCTTCCCCTGGCAGACGTCCGCAGATCCCCCCTCTCTCCCAGCCAGGCCTTGCTCTCGGCTGCTATGGCAGAGTCGCAATAAGTGCTGTTTGCTTAGAGCCTTGCCTCCCAGGTTCTCCTCTGTCACACAGAAATTGAATATTTTCCCAAACAGTGTTGCAGCTGTGCACAGATAAGAACAGGTCCTGTTCACATAGCACAAAGAACGAAGACAGTGTGCGTGCGTGCGTGCGTGCGTTGTCTAAAATGTTAATCTTAAATAAAAAAATAATAATCGTAACAAATAAAATGAGAAAAATCACTATTGTGTATAAAGTGTAATTATGAAAACTATTCTTGAAAAAACTACAAATGTGCTCGCAATTTTCTGTTTATCTTTAAATTGTCAACGTGATAAAAAGTAATCAGAACTAGTGTGATGGCTTTGATTTTCATCAGTAAAATAATAATCTTACAAAAATTCAGTAAATCCTTCTTTGACAGCGGTATATTGACAGACATTTCTTTCATTTGTCTTGGGTGTGACCAGAACACACGCTGCTAAAAGCACACAGCATATCTTATCTGAAACCCACACAGTGCTTTCAACATGTAAATTGTAAAGTCTGTGAGCCAACACTGAAAACCCTGTCAGTGTGCGACACACACCGTTTTATGACCAGAGGATGGAGGGGAGTTTTATGACCCAGTTTTGCACTTTGAACTTCTTTTCCTTCTAAATACCTTTTAGAGAAGCACAAACAAGTGAAGCAATGAAAAAGAGATGCCAGATAAGCTCAGGGAGGCTGCCACTTAACCAGTGCACAGGGAGCTACATGAGAATCGTCGACTAATATCCGTGTTGTTTCTTGTCACCACAGTCTGAAACAACCCGTACTTTCTACTGCCTACGTCCTTGCTCTGTAATGTTCTGCTAGCAAATTATTTAGGCAAGCAGAAAGTTTCACCTGCCATTTCAGGGGCGCTGAATCCCCTGCTGCACTAGAGGCCTTTGGCAAGTGGAAACAAATGTTTCACAAAATGGCAGGGAGGGGGACACATTGGCGCACAGCGTTTTACTGATTGCCAATCGTAAAATAAAATCAGTCATGAAAGGGGAGGTACTGAGGCCCACCAAAGGCCTCCACATTACATCAAATTTGCCATAGCTTTCTTTTACAGCCTTGTTTACTCCCCTTAATGGCGAGCAGTTATCCGCACAGTATGGCTCCATGTAGGTGGTTTAGCAACAGAAACAACTGCATCTGAAAACACAAACCCACAATTTACACGCCACATAAGCACTGGGATGTAAATTTAAATGCTTAAACTCCCTGCAATCGTTCACTTCTGATGCACTCACAACTACCATGCTAAGGCTGATTTTGCTACGGAGTAGCTAATGTATCATTTGTAAGAACTGCAACGTGAAGTCGGCCCTCGTTCCTTACACACGTTGCAAAACAGTCTGTCATGCTTGTGGAGAAAAAAGAATAATGAGCTTGAATTTGGTGGTGTTCACTGTACGAAACAGCACGACATCCCTACAGGCCAACGCTGCCTCAAACAATCCACTCAGCCACAATGCAACGTGAGAACCAGTCCTGTGGACTCACCAATCGCTGCTCACACAAAGACAACAGGCTGAAACCTATGCTTGTGAGAGAGCAAAACACAAAAACTAAGTGAACAAACTGCCACTAGTCAGTGTGTGTGTATGCTCACGCTGAATTAATAACAAATTACCTTAATAAAGCCAGAGTGGAAATGCCTGGCTTATTGTTATAATTTAAAAAAATCTGAGACTATGAAAGCCACATTATAGTCTGTTTAATACACCGGTCAAATATCCGTAGAGAGCTACTGGTCTGTGGTGAAGACAAACATCCCAGCAGAAAACAAATCAACAGTCCGTAATGTCACAGATTTTGATGTGTTCACACTCATTCACACTCACTGGCTTAAAAGTCTCGTGTGCCGTGAGAGTGTGATATAAAGAGCTGAGAATGGAGTGATATGTAGCACCCTGTCTCCCCCAAACCCACAAAGAAGTAGCTATATTGATCTGCGAGCGGAGATGAACGCACAAGCACAGAGAGGCAATCTGGTGCTCTGGCAGATCAAGAGCGGCTGCAGTTCTCTGAAACCGGACACACTTCCACTGAAACAAGGCTATGGACTCAAAAAAAGGGGCTCTCATGCTGGAATCAAACGCTCACAGGCATGCTCGAGCTGAAGATATGAAGCACCATGACATCTGAGAAAGCAGCTCCCCTCATAAATCCACATTCACAAGTACTGTGTATTATTTCCACTGAGCATAGATACACCTGTTTTTCAGACGCCAACAAACGGAATAGCAATTTTTAAAATGCTCTTCTTTTAATTAGGAATCCAAAAACATGTTTAAGAATTTTTAATTCTGTCATCCTTTCTACTTAGAACCAATGTCTTTCCCCAGAAGAACACTATTTACTCTTCGTGAGCCACTGTACAATTACCCCACAGTGTGAAAGCTGTGACACAGTCCCCCACACCACCACACTAACAAATACAACAAACACGGGGGCGGCTGTGGCTCAGGAGGTAGAGCGGGTCGTTTCCTAACCGGAGGATTAGCGGTTCGATTCCCAGCTTGTCTAGTCAACATGTCGAGGTGTCCTTGAGCAAGACACTAAACCCCCAGTTGCTCCCGGTGATGTCACCGGTGTGTGAATGCGTGAGTGCTTGGGAGTGTGAATGGCCAAATAATGTGTGAAAGCGCTTTGAGTGTGCTGTAAAGCATAGAAAGGCACTATACAAGTATAAGACCATTATGTTATACACAAGACATCTTACGGCCCTACTGCTTACAAGGATGGGGATGGATACACAAGCCTTTCAGTTTTACCAGCTCACGCACTCATTCTCAAGCCTTTTCAGTCTCAGCCAAAACCACTGGCAGAAAAAAAATATGGCTCCCTCCATTGTGCAAGACTCTGGCCACTTTGATATGCTAATGTGTTCCTCCCAAATTTGCACTTGCATTATTCAAACATTTTTTTTATGCACAAACAGATGAAAATGGAGCTCCCCAATAAAAAGGCTTGAAGTAGCAGTGTAGCCCCTGAAGCCTGATAAAAGCATGCATTAGCTTATTGCATACACATTCCTGAAAACCCAAGACCTATTATTAAGCTGCCTGTGTATTTAAGTGGCTGTCACTTTGTTATGTGTGGTGCTGCAGATAAGCCACTTCATCCCCCTGGTTTATTCTTTTGTTTCCTCTCACCTCAGGAATATACAGTTAGAAAAGGTTGTGCAACTTTGCCTGTTCAGTCACGATTGTTGTATAAGATCATTTAAACGCGTTTTGTCACATTTTACAGTAACACTATACCCCACTACTGAGCAGCCAGGATGAATGTGTTCTATATTTAATTATAGACACCAAACTTAGAAATTACTCGCATTCACTGACCCTAATCCAGCCTCCGTGCCTAATTCTCTCTCTCTCTCTCTCAGTGTCTTTCTCTTAAGACTAGATGTACAACCAAAAGACACAAAAAGCTGAGGGCAGGTTATGTGGAGACTGGAGCTACATTTATCCCGAATGCACTGATCGATGACTGAGGGTTGCTGCTCTGCTCCAGCTCCAGCCCACCGTGCACTACCGGCTGGGCGCTGTGTCTTTCTCGGGCCAAGAGGCGCACACCGACACCGCATGTGTGCTTCTGCTGCCTACTCTTTTTTGGTAAGACGCGTTCCGAAACGGCAGGCCTAAATAATAAATGTGCAGTAAAAGGATCTAATTTTACTGCCACTCTGCGCCGACTGGGTCTGAGTTAAGTCTAAACACCCAAACACGCCCCCCCTTGTAAATGTTTTCATTTTATTTCTACATTTGACTGATTTCATGACGCACGCATGTGACCCGCTGCACAGGTGATCTCTGGACAGAACTAAACATTACAACAAGGCAATGCTTTACTTCTTTTTTATGTTTTTATACAAATTGCTTAGTCTCAGTTGTAATAGATTAGACTGTGAATGCTCTCAAGAGCATCGTTTTCATTCATCCAAACGCGGTCGCCGAACAAATCAATCCACATCTGGTTATGTTTTGATGAAGCACTTTTCAATTACGCACGGCACCCCTCGGACTGTTTAACTTACTGCAATAACAGGTGTTCCGATTCCAAAAAAAATCATCGTTCAAGCCAAAGTAACCTATTCTCTAAGTTAAATGTGACCTTTTTTACTTTTTAAAGTAGCAAACTACACTTTAACACTTGAGTAATGTTGGTTTTTAAGAGTCCCGAAAGCAAATGAAAGGCTCTGAAGTGACCGAGCAAAGAAAGTAAAGTTACTCCACTCCACATCAACTTGTCAAAATACTGCTAAGAGTCTGATTTATAAAGTGCGATGAGACTAGTGTGCAGAAAGGGGAGGACTACTCTTACCTTTTTGAAAAGCAGTGAAGCCAAACAATGTTGAAATGAAGTCAGTAGGAAGGAAATGTGGATCGTAAAAAAAGAAATGTCAAATTGTGGAAAGACAGTCTGATGGGAACTCCTCTGTGGCGAAGAGAGTGAGTCTGTAGGTCTGAAGCATGCTCCCCTTATCTGGGACAGAGGCTGGTTATCAGGCGGCAGGTCCCACTCTCGACCCGAACGTTCCTCTATACTGGACACACACTTCCATGGCAAGCAAGGTGTTGCTCTGCGTTAAGTCTCATCAACACCTCATGCGCCTCTGAGCAGCATCAATTGTCGCCTCTCCTGTGCGCCTTCACCCCCGAAGCAGCAACAACAAACAAGGAGAGTAGTGGCGGAGCTCGGGGACCAAAAAAAAAAAAAAAAAAAAAAAAAGGAGAAAAAGGGGGGGGGGGGGCTTTTTCAGTGTCTGGTTAAGGGGCGAAGACGAACACAGCTCCCCGCTACTTTAGCCGTCGGTGCTGCTCCTCCTGGCTCCTCTGAATGAGACTGTGAAGACTGGGCAAGTTTCAGCGGCTCGCCTCTGGAAGAGATCCCGTTCACAGTGTTGAGATACTTGGTGGAAGCAGCGCGGAGCAGACTTCCAGTAAACAGCGCCAGTGCAGTGGAGAGCAGGCTGCCGTCTGCAGGAGCTGTCTGAGCAGAGGGCTCCAGAAAAACCTGGCATGGACTCTGATCCGCGATGACTCGGAGTCTAGACACCGTGTAGGACCAGCAGCAGACTAATCACATCAACTTATTATGATGCCCGGCAGGACTCGGGTCTTTTTTTTTTTTTACAGTACTGGAAGATTCAACAATATCATATAGAAAAGAAGAGAGGTTGTCATTTTACCCCGCCTTCATTCTGGCCTCCTTTCTGCTTAGAGATGCACCACTGCCTTCTTTTTGGCCATGAGAGGCCCATGTTCTGTCACAGTAGGCAGTCCAGCCTATTCAGCCAATGACAGAGGACTTATTCTGCCGTAATACTACCAAGCATCACAAGGAAAATAGAAGTACAGGTTTCCCTCCACCCCCCACCCTCACTCCAACTGGCCCCATAGGACAGCACTCCGGCCCAAGTAGCAGCGGTCAAGCCGATGCTGTTATGTAGAGCCAAGTAGTTTGTCAAAGTGAGAATTTCTCTTCCAGGTCTATTGCACTTTTCTTTTACATGATTCGCAACACCATTTGGCAGGCAAGGGAATTTTGTTTGGCTGCCATGGCCTTGACTGTTGCACTCCTTACTGTAAGCCACATGTAATGTTGATGATCCACATTTTGTATTCTCTGTTTAATACAGGCCATTACAGTTCATTTTGTACACAATTTCTAATTTCCCAAGTTTCAAAATAAAGCTGGGGTCTAGTTTATAATTGCAATATTCATTAACACCACATAAAAATCTAATTTTCAGTGTAGCTGTGTAGCTTCACTTTTTCACGAGGGGCCTCTGTTTTTAAATCAGAAAACCTACATAAAATAAGCACACAGGTCACAATTCTTTTCTGTTTATTTCTGCATTTGCTGAAGACTTGGAACATGTTATGATCTGCTCCGGGAATTCTGTCCAGAAACATTATCAGGCAGAACGTGGGTACGCAGCTGGCTTCAATAAAAACTGTCTTTCACCCATTATGGAGAAATGGGAAGTTGAGTCACGCCGGCCAGGTGAAGGTAAATGCAAAGTCGAGGCAGATTTATGTTTTCATAAGCATAATTTTACATAATAATACAGCTTTTTTTTTGCAAGGGACAAAAAAGAGAAAACAAATGTAATAAAAGGTCACCCAACGGCAGGCATCCATATCTGGAGAAATGTTTATTTATAAGCCAAGACTAAAAACACGTGGTGGCTCTGTGGCTTCAGTTGAAGCAGCAACTTAAACCTCCATTTTGAATGAATTCATTTGAATCTGCTTCCTCAGAGTGTCAACAGAGGGCATTAGACTTATATTACCATTCATCTGGATGAACATAATTCACTGAACTGTAAAATTCACCACCAGATAAACAGGTGAATACAGAGATATGTTTGAATCATTACATTTTTTTGTTAGTTACAAACCCCCTTGTGTGTGACCCCAGCTTTTACAGTCATTTCTTTGACAAGTAACAGCCATTACACATAAATCTTTTATGGGTTTATGATAAACTGTGACATAGTCCTATCTTGCAAATGTGGCACACTATTGCACATAATCACTCACCAAATGGTGCATAATAAATACTGGCTCTTTCACTCTGCTCAAAAACATTTCAGAAGGTGAAAAACAAGGGGACATTATCACAGCATTAAAATATCAAGCATAATCCAACAAAATGAAAGTTTTCTGTGTGTGTGTTTGCAGGATGGTGAAGATGTAACTGTAATGTCTTTCTGTTTTTATATCTGCTGAAAACAGTGGCAGATGCTTCAGACAGACCTCAGCCATCCATGGTGAGACCAAGCGTCCCCCTATTTCCCATGTGGCTCCAAGCCTCCTCTTAACCTTCAATTGTTCAACTAACAATGCTTATTGGTTCCTTCCCAAAATATTTGCACATGATTGACATCTCAGGCACACATGGCCAGTCACAGGACTGCTGCTGACCCCCCCCACCGGCAAATCGGAGTCCTTTCGCTGATGATGGACAAAGATTCAGCCAAGTTACATGCTTCAGAGCACAATTAACAAAGCCGCATCCAGCCTCGATCCTTCAGTCATTTGTTCGTTTAGCGTTTGTGACCTTCATTTTTTTCATTTCAGTCGACTCTGCTGGGCTTGACCTTTCTGCTTATGTCATGTACCTTGTTCAAATCTGTCTGGCTGCTCCTGTAGCTGACACACTGTGTAAGTTTACAGTTTTCTCTATGGTTTGGTGAAAAGTGCAGATAAAAGAATCTGTTAAAATACGCAGTGAGGGACTGCAGGTCCCTTTTTTCCTCTTGTCACATCTCTCTCAGCCACTACAGAACAAAGGTTCAAAGCGAATGTTCAAGTATGTGAACTGCAAGGTAGTGATCTTCCTTTCCCTGCTTTGTTTGCATAAAATCCTGCAGCTTGATCTGTTCCAAACCAAGTGAAACTCCTCCACGTCACATCTACACAGGGTCTCTCGGTATTCTCTCATCAATTTTGTCAAGCTGGCTTTAGTGGTCTCCTTGGATATCATACTCTCGGAGTAGACTCATAATCAAAGAAGGCCTCTCTACACAGCGGAGACTCGGTTAATATTTATGTAGCCATGGGCAACCGTGCAGCTTAGAGTTTTGACCTCACTTCTGCAGCACCTTTGAGGAGCTGTCGTTTGTCTGCACTGGCTGAACTAGGCACAGAGATTATTTAGGGAAGCAACACGGCTTGTATGGGGGTTTTACCAAAAAAAAAAAAACAGAGCTTTTATTGTGTGTAATGTAAATATTGCATGTTTGGATGCTCACAAAGCCTTTCATCAAGTGTGTATGAGGATGCTGAATTTCAGCCTGTGGCCAATGTGGTAATTAATAATAGATCATTTAAAGTTTTTTTTTTTACTTTGGTTGTTGACTTGCTTGTAAAAATGAATTTTGACATGAACATCTGAATACTACCCCTATGTATTTATTTAGACTTGCAGTGATTTTATTTTAAAGTGATACCATTATTATTTGCCCTGTATTATCATTATAATACTTTACTATGTATTATAATCAACCACCCTTATTTTCACAAGTATCCTGAATGAGTGTTTTCCTCAAGGCTTATATTTGGTGTTAAATACTGTACAATGCCAATTGGGTATTTACACCAGCATGCACCTAACCCAAAATCAATAATGTATAAAAGAGTAAGACCATCCTAAGCCTTTTTGAATCAATAGTTTTCATTGTCTCTCTCCCTTTTTTCCCATTAAACAGACTTAAGAATGGTAGCCCATGAAATCAGCTTCTGTCTAAATGTGAATCACCATGTGTGTGATGTAAGCAGGCAAACCAAGTAAAATATTATCAAATCAAGTCTCAATGAATGATCTCATCATTCTGCTCAAATTTCAGTTATTTAATCACTACGTTTGTTAAAAAAAAAGTCACCCTAGTCAGCCCCCCCCACACCCCCCACCCCCAGCCTAAAAGAGCCAAGGACCTATAATTGACTCAGCAGACAGGAAGCAATTAAAAAGAAGTCAAACACATGAGGGGCTTTGAGATCAGACTTGAAAAAAACCAAGGTCCAGCGTGGGCATGTTGGGCACTGGCTTGCACAACTGTCAAATAAGTTGACTGTTGAGAGACCACACTACATAAACAAATCATCTTAAGCAAACTGTGTCGAGAAGTCAACATTTAAGAATCTTAGCACTCCTTAAACTGTGCTCTATAATCAAACCTTTTCAGAAAAATGCTCTCTGCTACAAAACAGCCTTTTGCTCTCTCTGAGGTTTGATGTATGAGACTCATGTTGATTTAAACAAGCACAAGGGAGCAGGGATATAGGTGAAGAATCTATTCAAATGTTTTGTATGGAAACGCAGACAAGTGGAAACAGATGTGCTTCACTTGTGACCTATAAAAA